TTTGAAAGACGATAGGATTTCCTTGTTAGTGCAGCTGGATAAGTCAGTACTGAACGCTTGCTGGCAAACTAGAGAGTACGTGAAAAGAAAAGACTAAAAATTAAGGATTCTTGGTGAACGTTTCCTGAGTGGGCGATATCCTCCGGTTGTTTGAGGTGTCAAATTTCTAGTCTTTGATCTAACAGCCTGTTCCTGAGTTAGTGGGATAAAATGAGGTCTGCTTGAGGGGATCTAGCAAGAACCCTTAACACAATAATCTGAAATAACATAGAGTGAGGAGTTCCCAACACTAGAGTGTGACTGCAGAATTCCTCCGAGAACTTCCTGGAAATAACCGTACACCGTCTTCTGGGACTCGCAGTCAGCTACAGCTATCAACACTTATACACCTGCCAAAAGGCCAGACAAAAATGAGTTTCAGAGGTTGTGTACCTTTACGACTAAGGGTCACCTGACTTGACGGTGGCGGTAACAAACCACAGAGAATAGATGGTGCTCTTCCACTAGCCGATGATACGTAGCGCTTGTGCACTAGGCCAATCAAGCTGAGACTGTAACGTGTACCTGTCGCCTTCCATATCTGAGATTTGAAGGAAGAGCGCAACCGACTTCTCACTTACTGTCAAAGAAGTACATGGTTGGATTGAGTGTTAATAGAGCCAACTCTCATCATAATCATCGAAACGTCTGAACTATTGTGTTGCAAAATAAGATATTAAACGGTGCAGACTGGTAGTAGAACGCGGAATATCATATTATGCATGGGGTATGAGATCGCTGCTGATAAAGAAAAGCTAAAATGGAGAGGCGGAATAAAGAGGCTCACGACACAAACGCCACTGTGATAGGCTCTTCGCCATGTCAACAAGTGGGTCCGACCAGATATGTTTATCGTCCTCCGTACCCCAGCTCTGCAATCGTGAAACATCAACCGACGTCAACTTCCTCTTGATTAAATCATAGCTTGGTCCCATATTCTTATATCCACACCCCGCTCGCGTAAGCAACACAAATCGCGGGATTCCATGTGTTGGCACTTGTAACACCTAGTCAAGTCATGGAATACTTGTTCTTGATCCAACGGTGCTGAGCGATTCACTCCCTCTTCATGCACTAAATACACGACGCCGAACACGCTCGTTGCTCATGCGGTGTTCCCACGAGACATGAACTAAGCTATGAAGGCAGCAGTAGGCGAACGTGACTAGCCTCTTTATGCCTGTCGACTTGATGGGCCAGGTTTCGTAACCGATCAGCAGGGTTCAACGGACGGCTACATTGTAAACCCAGCTCTTCAGAGCCGCTGCTGCCTGCTTGGCTCCACAGGCAACAAAGATCCGAAAAAGTGCCTCAAGATTTTCCTATGTGGTTTGTGATCTCTTTCATTCCACCAGCGCTGATATAGCTGCTTAGATATTTGAGTTTCGCGAAGATTTCTAGTTGGTCACCATCAAGGGTCAGCGCAGGGTTGGATCCCTGCCAATCTTGGAGGACAATGCATTTCGACGGTGCAAAGTATAGCCTGGAACGAATGACAGCCAAAACTAGTTTATCCAGTACCGCTTGGCACTTTTAGGAGCCGTCACAGACAAGGGCAACATCGTAAACGTATTCTGTCACCAGGAAGCAGCTCCACGCCTTGCAAATGGTGGACAGTGAGCGTGATATCCATAACTTCGTCAATAACGAAGTTGAAGAGAAAAGTGGCAGGGGGCATCCATGTCTTGAACTGCTGGAGATATTGAAAGGCGGCGACTGCTTGCCGTAAGCGCTCACACTGCCCGAGTTACGCGCGTATAGCGCTCTGATGTTTGCGTATTTGTGTACATAATTTGCCTGAGTGGACAGTCCCAAATTGCACACTGATCCATCAAATCGAAGGCACCTTTGATGTCTAGGAACACGACTATGGTGGGTCGCCAATAAACATGGCGGTGCTCCAACAAATGACGTAATGTGAATATGCGGTCAATGCAGTCCCATCAAGACGAAGCCCGGCTTGCTCCTCAAGAATCTGGCTTTCACGAGTGCCAGTCGGCCTTTGAGGGATGAGGGGCAAGCAATGCGACGAAAAAATAAGAAAGAAAGACATCAGCATTACGCCGATACGCAGTACCGACGCTTCGCTGTCGCGTAACCATCACCGGACGCACGTGGGCTAAGGATACTGCGAGGGTCTCCCTGCCCCTACGCAGGCTCGAACCAGCGCCGTCAGAGTACAAGCTCGTTCCAGTTAGGCTACGGGCGATGGAAATCAAACTGAATCCCCTGTGAATGTCGCATTCAGAACAGCACCCTCCCTTGAAAATTAGGACTATACGAGAGCGGCGTCGGTTTGTTGGGACAATCTCCTGCCCCCACAGAATCATGGGTAAGTTATGCAAATGATCCAGAAGGGTAGGTCCCCCGAATTTAAAAAGTGCTGGATGAAATCCATAGAAGTCTCTCAAGCATGGTTTAATGTCGGTAAACTAAACGGAAGCCCGAACCAGCCCAACTCGAAGCCCATTGGACGGGAAACAACCAATGGACGTCTTTTCCGTTGAAGCAGACCAATGATAACACTACTGGCTTGGAGCTAGCATAGGAGAGGATTTCCCTGCAGTTAGTATTTTCTGAGAGCTTGAAACTCTCATCCAGACTAGGTTATGGTGACGGAGGCGAAAGTACACAATATGTCAATCTCAGCAGAAGGACTGAGAGGGATTTTGCTACAACAGTAGCTGCTATTCGAGGTCATACAGCGATGAAAGATGGGGACTCCCAGCCGAACACTATCGAGAATGCGGAGAACCCTCCAGCTGATTAATAGTTTCAGTAAATTCGATTTTGATCTCGAGTTAGGGCTGATTTTCAGGTGTTATGACGATAATTTTAAGTAGGAGCCATCATATCTTGATGACGCATAAAACGTGGGATTACTGTTGTGGAAGATCGGAACTGTTGAGCGCAATAGATATATCAATTTCATTTCGCTCAAGAGTGCCCAAGATTTCAGCTTTGATGAAACGATTTCCCGACTCACAGAGACTGTACAAAAGGAACAGTGACAGTCTCATTGCCCATGCAGCAACAGTGAAGTAAAAATGTCGGAAATTAAAGCATAAACCACCTACTGAAAACGGACTTGAATGTATGATATTAGTGTGCAGTCTGTGGTCTCCCAAGTATGTCGAGATCCGAACCAGAATACTCGGGCTGTTGGAGGCCACATTGTAAAGTATCAGTGCATAGGTTCAGTGACTTGAAACACGAAACATTTATGGTCCGGAATACAAAGACATTTAAGTGATTTTAACGAGAAAAAATAGATAACGTGTCAGCTATACGCCGTAACGGCGCTTCGTTGCCGCGCGACCACCACCAGACGCGCGCGGGCTGAGTATACCGCGAGGACGCTCACCCCTACGCGGATTCGAACCGGTGACCTTACGGTTGCAAAGCAAACGTGCAGACCACTCGGCCACCGGCCGACTTAAGTGATTTTACAAGTAAGTAGATTTCCAATAGTAAGATTCCAGCCACTAGTCGCAAGGAAGTTCCTCAAGCCAAACCAACATTAACCTGTTGGCAATGCGGAGACTGGCACTTTGTGAGATGGCGCCCATTAAGCAAGCAAATCTGTCACCTTACAGGCCAGCCTATGATATCTGAAAGAAGATTGACGACAATTTCGTAAAAATAATGAGCATCGACTTTGCCGAGGATGTTAGAGATCAAGGAAAGTACATCACAATCAACGTGAACGGGAAACAGACAAGTTTTCAGATCGGCACAGCCTCAGAGGTCCGATATAAAGGCGAACAGTCAGCATATTGGCATATCAGGTCCAGAGCTGAAAGTGCTCGGCCAGATCAAATGTCAGTGGGGTTTCGTCGACTTCACCGCAGGGGGAACAAGGTTGTCTGATTCACACGCCGACACGCCAGATATGAGTGGCTCTGATATCTGGAAAGCGCCACCCACCACAACCTGATGGTTCCAGAGGTATGCAAGCGATCGTCTAAATTTTAGATCTAGTTCCGTCGCCATAAACGTTAACTTAGTGAAAAAAGCATCAGCAAGAAGTCGGTACACTGTGCCGCGGATTCGCTGCCACGTAACCACCAGAAGTCGTGTGTCGGCTAAGAATACTGCGAGAGTCGCCCGATTCTCTTATGCAGGCTCCAAACCGCAACTTCTAGATTGTAAGATCTGCCTGTGATCTTTTCGGCGAAGGGTCAGTCACGTTGCAAACGTCGAAGTGTGACGTAAGCAGGATGGTAGAAACTAAGAGAATCGAAAGTAAAAGAGGAAAAACGAACAAAAGGCTAACTGCGGATGGATTGCAAGAACCAGAAAGAAGACCAAACTACAAAGACGAGCTTTTAGAGACAGCTTAACTTAAACTAGTTATAAAGAACCCCGGGATGGTGGACTGATGTCAGAGGTGGAACAAACATGTCGATCTCCCACAGTCAATTTATCTCGCTAGTGTGACTAGCAAATATATTGAACGATTCGCGAATTGTCAATGAGGCCCATCAATGCTGAGGGTACCTTTGGTAGAAAGAGAAGCTTCGTTTCTTTGTGGGTTCTAGGAAAAGGAAAGGGTGACACTCGCTAGAATATCCAACAACCCAATGATGACCTAGCGGCAGATCATAAAGGAATGAGAAATTAGTTCTTCTCCATCATAAAACACCCAGATGTTATCAAGCGGAAGAAGAAAATGGATGGCTTTCCAGTACGTTTCAAAAATTCGGACCGTGGACCCAATCGTCAACAATTTTCTTAAGAAGCTGGGAGTAGAGGGCGTAAAGCAGTGAACTGATTTAACTGCAGTGCGAGTACGAACAGGTTAGATATGTGAAAACGAAAACCGGTAAAACGCGTTAGTAGCACATCAAACTGAAATTGATGAACATGCTATTATTCAGTAGGAACTGAATGATGTTTCGGTCACACGTAACCAATGGTAACGGCGATCCGAATCTAGTTGGAAAATAACCGGCCCTTACTTTGCGGGCGTAGGAGCAAGAGACGACAGCAAGGAGGAGGTATAGTCCTCTTGTCGAGGACCGCTGCTTGTCTGACCAGCCATCTCATTGTCTTCGTATGGATACAGCAGAGGAATCCGACATTCGAATGCATCACCCGGCTGTGGAAGCAAAATGAACAAAAACTTATGGCGTTTTAAAACCCAAAATCACCCGTGATAAAAAGGGATCTGGCTAGCCTAGTATTAGTACAGTTCAGTAAAGCAACTATGATCCGAGCACTGAAGTACGGGGGATCCAGTTACCATGACTCATAACGTAAGAATAACATTGAATAACACTGGTAGGGCAGTGGAGTTGAGTATAAAGAGGATGTGGAGAAAATAAAAGCAAAAAGGAAATGCGTTAGACTAATCAGAACGGAAGGAAAATTAGCAATCAGATGAAAGAAGGCGAATGCAGGAACGCCACTGACTTCGTGACTGCGCCACGTCTGACAGGTTGTCCAACCATTGATGTGGATCATCACGAGGCCTCCACCGAGGAAGACGCCACGCACCAGCCTGAACAAGCCATTCAGTCAATTTCTTCAAGCCTCTATGCCATGTTATGGACTGGCCACCTCGTGGTTTCGCCCAACTTGGTGCAACTAAGGCGCATAATGCATGCCGAGGAAGCCGATCAACGGGCAGACGGAGGACGGACAAGCCAACGTAAGCGACTAAGATGTGTCAAACACTCGAGAAAGGCGCCAAAGGGCTTCTTGCCAAAAACCAGCAGGTGGACCTAAACAATGTAAACTCAGTGTACCCACCAAATGCGATCAATATTTCGCAAGCACCATGCGGCCATGCGTTTAATGTCTTCACTACGAAGTGGCCAGGTCTCTGACCCATACAGTAACATTGGTTTTAGCACAGGCTTATACACCCAACGCATCGCAATCAGGCTGGACCTAACCGTGGTGCGATGGTTTGCGTGCCTCAGAGATCCATTGAGCTATGCTGGGTGGTGCCTTTTGCACCTTCAGAGCTACTCATGCCAGATTGGTCAATGGTTAGAGGCCAGACAAACTCAGCATACTGGTCCACCGCGTTGGGCGTTGGAATGAGGGTGGTTCCTTATTTCATAAAACCGGCTCGTTTAGTCCAGTGCCAAAACCCGCTGCCTTGCGGTAAGGTTTTTGAATAAAAAGCTTGGGTTAAGAATCCTAATCGTTCTCCTGGCTAGGCCTGGGCAGCCAGACAGTATTCTGCCAATGCAATACAATGAACCCTTCATCAAACAATTTCGTGATGCACTGGCCGTCGCAGAGGATAATAAACGGCGCCCTATCTGCTGCATCGAGCAGGGTGGAGAGGGGTATGGATGCTACTGCTCAGGCCTTTCCGTCTCATACCCATTCTTGCTCTTTTTCATCCCTACCGTCCCGCTGCAACTTCGTTTTAATCCCCCATTTTCAATCTCCCAATTATTGGCCCTCCTCCAGCTTGCTTCAATAGTCGCTCGTTTTCTAGTTTCAAATCACACACAGTCGCAGGGCGTCGCTCCAATCCAGTCGGCAAGTCCATGTTCAACCAAGCAGACAACGTCAGTTTATCCCTTTCCCTTTGGAGTCCTCGCGTCTCCCTAAGACTGACATGCCTCAACATGCGCAATTTGTTACAGATTGGCCAACAGGCAGCAATTGCCCGCACACTAGAGACCCTATCGATCGATGTTTGCTGTTTATCAGAAACCCGCCGGCAAGGTTCGAGCTCCGTGGTTATCCTGCGATCCCCCACATGTGATACTGGCGGCACATCCTCATTACGTCTGTCTGGCGATGACGCAGCTTCAAATGCCGGTCAAGCTGGCGTCGCCATTGTTTTAAGTCCCCGGGCTGAAGCTGCCCTGATTGATTGGATCCCAGGAAACAGTAGGATATGCGCCGTTTGATTAGCTGGTTCGTTCTGTGCTAGGAAGTCGCGATGGGACAAACGGTGCCTGCTTGTCACTGCGGCCTACGCTTCTACAAACTGTAGCAATGATTCGGTAAAAGATGATTTCTATCAGCAACCTCACGGGCTCCTTCGTAAAAGAAGAAGCACTGATACTGTGGTGTTGGCTAGCGATCTAAACGCTCAGGTCGGAAAATTGTCCTCTGATGAGCTTCATCTGGGCGGCCAACATGGTGTAGACTCCCATAATGAGAAAGGTGAGCGATTGCTACAGCTGTTCGAAGATGCTCCCCTCTTTCTCGCGAGCACAAGATTTCGACACAGCACACGCAGAAGTGTGACTTGGCGGCCAACAGCCTCGGGCCAGCCATGGACGCAAATCGATCATATCGCGATCAGTTACCGCTGGAGAGGCTGTGCCCAAAACTGTCGCTCGATTTGGAGCACGAGCGTGGACTCTGACCACGCACTTGTCTGTGCCGACCGCCGGGTGCGTTTCCGTGGACTCCGCAACGTCGATGTGAACGGATTGACACCAGCCAGCTGGAGAAGCCAGATGTCCTGAATGTATACCAAAGTGCGCCGACATCTGGGTTGAGTAAGCGCCCACTAAACACCGTCGAAGATCACTGATCGCATAGTCGTAAAACGTTACTGTTACCAGGCATATCTTCATGTGGCAAAGCAAATTGCCAAACCGGACATTGGGTCTCTACACAGTCTCTGAAACTTATGGATGCACGCCGACGTAATCCGGATGGAAGCGAATACAGTGAGGCTCGCAAGAATCTCAGGGAAAAACAACGTGCTAGCCTGAAGAAAGACCGCGAAATCTGGTGGTCTCATCGTGCCTCTGAGATGGAAACAGCCGTTGCCGTTGGCAATCATTGTAAGTTAGTAAGTGGTACGGGAAACAGGCAGCATGAGACCTGGTGTTAGCGAGACAATACGCGACGAGAGTGGGCAGCCGATCCACAGCCTGTCAAAACGCTTGAAGCGTTGGGCTGAACACTTTGCAAGGCAATTTAACCAACCTGAGTTATCGGTTTCTTTTCCGGGCACTGAGCACTCTTCTCCCTGGACCGTCTCCTTGGATTCGCCATCACGCGAATTCGAACGTGAGATCCGGCTGTTGAAATTGCATAAGGCCTCAGGGGCAGATAGAATTCCCCCAGACCTATTCAAATTCGGGTAACTTGCTCTAATAGATTATTTACACGAGTTGCTAGTTAAACCGTGGGAGCAGGAGACTGTCCAGACAGACTGGAACCGCTCCGTCATTGTCTCAATTTTCAAGGGAAACCCCCGTTTGGAATGCGGCAATCATAGAGGGATCAGTCTGATTTCGATTGCCTCTAATTTGCTTGCCTCTGTCATTCCCCACAGACTGACTGGCACTCGTGAAAGCCAGATTCGTGAAGAGCAAGCCGGATTTCGTCGAGGTCGGGGATGCATCGACCACATCTTCACCTTGCATCAATTGTTGGAGCACCACCATGTTTATCGGCGACCCATCGTTGTCATGTTTCTTGACATAAAAGGTGCCTTCGATTCAGTCGATCGATGTGCCTTTTGGGACTATCTGCTGAAGAAAGGTGTGCCTAGTAAATATGTAAGCATTACCAAAGCGCTGTACGCGCATAGTTCGGGCAGAGTGAGTGTTTATAGCAAACTCTCGCCACCCTTCAGTATCACCAGCGGTGTGAGACAAGGTTGCCCGCTGTCACCTTTCCTCGTTAACTTCGCTATTGATGAAGTCATGGAAACAGCATTCGCTGGACACAACCTAGAAGGTGTGGAGCTACTTCATGGTGAGCGACTTCTTGACTTAGAGTATGCGGATGATATTGCCATAATCTGTGACAGTTCCCAAACATGCTAAGCAGCAATGGACCGATTAGCACTGGCTGTCAATCGTTTTGGGCTATGCTTTGCTCCATCGAAATGCAAAGTACTTCTCCAAGATTGGCAGGGACCCAACCCTGCGCTAACGCTTGGTGGTGATCTGCTAGAAGTCGTTCAGGAATGCAAGTACCGGGGCAGCTATATTAGCACCCGTGAAATTGAGATGAGGTTAGGAACCGTATAACAAAAGCACGAGGTGCTTTTGCCAATCTCCGCCACCTGTGACGCAGACGCGACATTACTCTCGCCCTCAAGGGCAGAGTTTATAACGCAGCCGTCCGTTCAACTCTCCTATTTAGTTGTGAAACCTGGACCATCAGGTCGACAGACATAAAGTGGCTCACCACATTCGATCATCGCTGCCTTCGCAGCTTAGCTCATGTCTGGTGGGAGCACCGCGTGGGCAATGAGCGTGTTCGACGTCGCGTATTTGGTGTAGGAAGAGCGAGTGAACCGCTCAGCAACATTATATCACGCACCAGGCTCCGATGGTTGGGCCACGTGTTGCGCATGCCAGCACACCGACTACCGCGACGTGCATTGTTTGCGCGTTGTGGGTGCGGTTGGAAGAGGAGGAGGGGAGGCCAAGCGATGACTTGGTCGACAGAGATGAAAACCCTCCCTTCGAAGTTGACGTCGGTTGGTGCATCCCGACTGCCTGGCTGGGGTGCTAAGGATGGTGAACACGTTTGGTTGGACACACTTGCAGATTTGGCTTGGAGTCGGCCCCAATGGCGTTTGTGTTGTGAGTTCCTTTGTCCATCCCCCTCCAATCACGATCTCACTCGTTAGGCATAATATAACCCTCTTTTTACGGCACAATAGCCAGCTGTTAGCTCTCCGGAACGATGTCCATCCGTTACTGAGGACTCAGCCGGCGTGCCACTGTTTGTTTTCCTTTTCTTGTCTTTTGTATTGCGGCATAATAGGTGAGGTGTTTTCCACCTGCAGGTAACGTGTATAATGAATGAACATATACCCTAGCTTTCACTGACAAGCTGATATCCCACCGTTTCCATAAATGGCTGAGCACCTAGAAGACCACACGGGCCTTGCTGATACGCGAAGTAACCTTTTCAGTGATGTGACCACCAAAGGTGACACAGCTACCTAAAAATGATGATGATCACGTGAGTAGTGAGCTCTGGAACAATAATGTGAAGGGGTTCAAATCAATGAGAAGACGCTGTGAAAAAAACAGTAGACGGATGATCAGGTAACAATCGTAAAGTGACAGCAGAGAGGTAGATATCTGCAGCCTAATGAGTGGATTCCAGGTCAGTAGTTGCCATCAAAATGCAAGAGGCTTTAGTGCTATGCGATTAGGGATACCCTTGTTTGCAATTTGCTTGCCACTCGGTGCGGTTCCGCGGCATTGTATACCACCGGCGTCCACTTTTCGAGATTGGATTAAAGTGTGGAGAAAACGCAATCTTAAGACACTCAGGGCAAATAGAAAGATGCTAAAAAGTCAACTCCGTTGTTCCCATGTTTTACTTGTTCACTAGAGTTGCTGCTCTCACCCTTTCTTCCTTTGGTGGCCTATGCAATGGTTAACACAATCGCAAAGTTTCAGTATACAAATCATAGTCGACAAACTGTAACGCTTTCTACTCATTTCAGCACATCGTTGCGAACGCTAATTTCATGCTGTGGCGAGGTGAGTGAGGGAAACACGATTCAAAGGTTCAGTTCACATGGTCATAATGTGCATGACAAAGTACCTTCAGCCCTATTGGTTTCACTAACGCCGGTAGAAAAACAGACAATAATAAACGGTGAGAAATAAATAAGAAACAGAACGAGTGACATGTTGTATGCATTCCAAAGCGACAGTAGTATTCAGCTCGCTGGCTCTGATTGCCACAAATAAGAAACATGGGGAGGAGACAAAAAACCTACAAATATTGTACTAAGCAGGCCTGGAGGATCAGAGTGCGGCTGATAAAACGAACGGATCCGACAACAACACTTACCACAAAGCGCCGGTACTTCACAGGGCGCCAGAGCGCTAAATTCTGCTGAGTGCGAAATAACACATCCGGATCGTTATCGGTGGGCTTCCGACGAGAACCTATTTGTCCGCGCAAATCACCGGAGTCAGACACCTTGAAGCGAGCTGAAACGACTACACTGGGTGTCTGTGACTGAGAAGCACCGGCACTTTCGCGAGCCTCCGGAACACGGGACATCTCTGAAAGAAAAGACTGCATAATAGAATAAAATGCGCTTAGCGCAAGTGATGTAAATCTTCCTAGGAAAGTAAAAACTGACGAAATGCCAAACATAATACAAGGCAAAGAGGAAAGTTAGCAAGAGTGGCCATAGGCGTAGAGTAGCGCTCACGACGGCAGCGCTAGAGCTAAATCAAAAACGTGTAGTAAAGAATGAAGTGCGTCGTGGATGTAGGCAAATCTGGTAGAAAGCAAGGGGAAGAGCGAACAGCAATGAGCACAAGCCCGTACAGGACAGTGGGAATTACGTTTTTTATAGAATATGTTGTAGTCTGATCTCTGGGCTATAGGAATAGGAGTTGGAGTGTGTCAATTCCGGAGACCACTCCAATTATTGCCAACTGAACACATAGACAAGCAGACTCAGAACGGGACGAGTGGAATATTTAAAACATACCAAAGCGACAGTAGTACTCCGATAGTTGATTCTGCTTGACAAAAATCAGGAAAAAAGGTTCGATGTAAGAGCTTAAAATTATAAGAAAAGTATATATATATATATATATATATATATATATATATATATATATATATATAGCGGGAGAGGCTATGGTGCGCTGAGGCTGGTGGTGGCTAGATCTTGACAGATGGTTCATCCACTGCTACTACTGTTGCGCCATTGGCTCATGTCCTGGACGCCTCCTCATGGCGACCGCTGGGTGGGAGCTGGGTTACGCCCTTCTCCCTGTTAAGATCCAGAACACCAATCCGCATGAGTCACTGAACCGACCATGTGCTAGACCTGCTATCTTTCGGGTGTACATTTAATCGAAGGCTTTGGCTGAGGACCCGAGTCGTTCTCCTGTCAGGTGTGGGCGCCTAGTCCATCATCTTTGGAGGTTAGGAAGTGATCGATGGCCTCTTCCCGCGAAACCTAGCCATGGGAGAGAACAGGTCTACGGGTTATGAGCTCAAAGTTCGATTGGCGTAGAGCACGAGCGCCACGCATTGTCTCTGACGGTGGGAGGGCACCTCCGGGTGTTCAATGGTTTGTTACTGCCCGCCTCAAGCCAGGCACCCATGGTCAAATTGATGCAAACCCGCCAAAACGCACCTACGTCTGGCCGTGGTCGCAGGTGCGTACCCCACTACGGTCGCAAAACATATATGAATCGTTTCAGTACCTCAAAGGCTGCGAGTGACGACCATCAAGCAGATCCTAATCTGCCTCTCCAATCGCATTCCCGAACTGGATCTGTTCCCCACTGCCTTGTGGGTCAGGCTATTGAGTCAAAGGCTCCGGGTGGATTCCCTCAAGCAAACCTCCGAAGCACATCCGCCACCTCGCTGGCGAGTGTCCACCAGTGCAGTCGTATGCCTGCGCGCAAAGCACTCAGCATCGGGTGCTGGAACGTGCGCACACTACTGGAGCGAAACTAGAGTGAGCGCCCGGAGTGACGCACTGCACTGATCTCAATGGAACTGGCGCGTTACCACATCGATATTGCGGCGCTCAGTGAAACCTGGCTCGCTGAGAAAGGTAAGTTGCATGAAGCAGGTGCTGGCTACACATTCTACTGGGTAGGCACCGCCACCTCAGCACCACGTGAACATGGGGTCGGATTTGCAATATCCGAACGCCTCCATGGCCAACTCGTGCGTAAACACACAGGCATCAACGCGCGACTGATGACTGTTCGCCTACGACTCGGAAGAGGCAAGTTTGCCACCATTATAAGCACGTACGGTCCCACCATGTGTTATCTTGATATCCCGAATGATCAATTCTACACCCACCTATCCTCCGTGATACGGTCTGTGCCGAGGAGCGACCGACTATTTTTGTAGGGTAATTACAACGCGCACGTTGGGCGATGCATCGGTGTGGAAAGATGTTATCGGCCCGCATGGCATTGGTTCAGCGAATGCGAACGGTGACAGGCTGCTCTCACTGTGTGCCACTCAAAGCCTGACGATCACGAAGAACCGGTTTACACTGAGTGCGAGTGATATCGCAACTTGGACGCAACCACGGAGTGGCCACGTTCATCTGCTGGATTAGGTCATCGTAAATCAGTGTGATATGCGTGAAGTGAGCATGACAAGTGTACTCTGTGAAGCTGAGTGTGGCACTAGTCAGAAATTGTTAGGTACCAAACTGTACATATATATTCGAAATATATGTATTGCACGTACGATTAACATTACATCTCTTACTACTGTGGCAAAACTTATTGAGCTGGAGAGGGCGATGGCTGCACGCCTGTGTGATGCGAAAGGCATAGCCACAGTGAGCGACCTGTGACACCACATTTGCAACCAGGTGACAGCTGCTGCCGATGAGAACATCTGTTGTGAAGACTGTACGCGGCCTGATTGGTTTGATGGAAACAATGCGACGATTGGCGCATTGGTGTCGGAGAAGAATGCAGCAGTTGCTGCACATGTGACAGACCCCAGTGCCTTGGAGAAGAATAGTCAGTTTCGCAAACTTAGACGGCGATTGACCCGAGAGCTCCGTCGCATTAAAAATGTCTGGCGGACAGAGAAGGCGAAGCAGATGGAATTCTATGCCGAACGCCGCCAATACAAGGACTTCTTTGATTTCTTGAAGGCGGTGTATGGACCGAGATTGAAGCCGCTGTGGACCCTAATCGAGGGTAATCCAGGCGCCACCTGCACGCAGCGCAGACATAGTACAGACTGGCAAAAACACTTTGACTCTTGAACAACCGTTCAGAATTCGACCGACGTACATTAAACGGCCTCAAGCAGAACGATGCGAAGATGGGCCTAGAGGACACGCCGACACTGAATGAGACACAGACAGCACTTGCTCAGCTGCGAAACGACAAGTGTGCCTGGGCCGACGGGATCCCGCATGAAGTATTGAAACACGGTGGACCCGCGTTGGTGACTGCGCTGCACCACTTGGTGCAACGCGTATGGATTGAGGAGGAGGTGCCTGCTGAGCTGAAGGATGCCCTTGTGCTACCACTTTACAAGGGCACAGGGAACAAGCATTGTTGCACGAATTATCCTGGCATCAACTTGCTGAGTTGTATGGGCAAGATGATTGCCCGAATCTTGCTCAACCGCCTCGTCAGTCAGGTTGTGGAACCTAGCGTGATGGAAGAGCAATCTGGATTCCCTTCTGGTCATAGCACAATAGATGTGTTGTTTGCAGCTTGTCAATTGCAGGAGAAATGCAGAGAACGACACCAGCCGTTGTACTCGCTTTTTGTTGATTTCACCAAGGTATTGGATATGGTGAACCGCGAGGCATTGTGGCTGGTGTTGGGTAGGTTTATCTGCCCGAGTTAGTTTGTAGGTTTAATTGGATGTCTGCATTGAATGTCTGCGGGCGAGGGTGCAGCTGAGTGGAGAGACCTCGGATTACTTTGTAGTTGTCTCTGGTGTGAAGCAAGGATGTGTCTTAGCTCCTGCCCTGTCTAATATTTATTTTCATGTCATGATCCCTTGTGCTTTTGATGCCGCTTGTGCTTACGGGTTCACCAACAACACAAGCAGAACTGTCTGTCTCTTTCAGCCTTCACCGGAGGTGCAATCTATGATGGTGCCGCGAATCAGCCTTAGTGCTGAAGTATTGGAAACCACCTCCCGCTTCTGCTACCTTGGGAGTGTGATGTCGACTGACCAGCAGCTACAAAGTGAGCTGCGTATCCGCGTGTCGAAGGCAGCTGCGACATTTGAGACGCTTGACTACTGAGTGTGGAACAACCATCAGCTTAGCATTGGCACAAAGCTGATGGTGTACAAATCCATGGTGCTGTCCATTCTTCTATACGGCAGTGAAACGTGGACGATGTACCGATGGGATGTGCGATATCTCGAGCGGTTCCATCAACAGTGTTTGCGACGGATTTTGCGCATCGGATGAGTTGTGGACACGGAATCGTTGCGACAAAGTGGGATGTATGCAGTGGACTGCATAGTTTTGCTGAGATACCTGAGGTGGCTCGGTCATGTGAGCCGTATGGATTCGACGCGGATACCGAAACAACTATGATATGTTCAGCTGAGTATTGGGAAGCGGCATGTGGGGAAACGAACGTCACGTTACCAGAACATGATCAAAATGAGCCTCTCACGTTCTAATCTTGATTGTAGGTCATGGGGATTGAAGGCGGTCGATCGGCGTGCATGGCGCGATCTGATCACGAAGGCAGTTGCCGAAGTGCGGGAGAAAGACCGCACGCATGCAGAGAAGAAGCGGCAAGTGCGAAAACGGCAAGCACCAATGGGTTGTACTCTCTCGCTATTGAGCGCATGTTGTTGTAGTACATGCGGTCGCAAGTCCCTGAATCAGGCAGACCTAAGGAGCAAGGCCACTGGGGACCATCACCGAAGCGATGACGAGTCCTGCAGAGAACGTAGGCAGAACCGGCGCAGCGTTTGTAGGTACGCTGCATTCGACTTACCAATCGCGTGCTTGCATGCTAAGGCTCTTTATTTCAGGTGGTGGGATTGCAATTTTCCCCCAATGCTTTTCTTTCCCAAACTAATGTCTCCCAGTACTACCTTATATAAACTTGCACACGTCACTTAAGCCAACTGTAATTAATTTGGATAACATTTTCATGTTTGTGGCATCTCCTTAAAATATATTTTCTGACCTCATGGATTTATCGGGGATTTGTTGGTAATCAATTTGATATATATGCACATTTAGTGAAGTGTTATGCCGCCGTATCTGTATGCACTATCCGATTTAGTTTATTTCATGTTGTCGTTTCAAGTGTTTGGCTGTTGCTTGATATCCCCGGTTTGGGTACGGTTGACAAGGTGCGCACCTGTCTAACACGATCATCCTAGATTACTAGGTCCAGGAGAGTGAATCGCTGCTTTTGGGGACGGGGTGCACGGTGCTCGTGATTATGCTGTGATCATTGTGATTCCATCTGCTGTGAAACAGGCTACGGAACAGCCACCGCGTTGTGCAACTGGTTCGCTGGATTCCTCATATAAATAAACAAATATACTGTTCCTGTGCATGTTGAAGGTATGTAAGCCGGATCAAATAGTGGTTTCATGCGCTCAGTGTGGAGCGAACTATGGTCCAGCCACCGCCTTGTGCGTGCTTGATTCCAAAATACAGCGTGTTTGCGTTAGCATTTGAAGGAGTGTGGGCCGTGTGGGGGCCATAAGGGAGGATGACGAGCAGAGTTTGGCTACTCAGAATGAATTTGTTTGAGGTTTCTCACTAACCAATGGCTAAATGATCGTGACCACTAAGCAGTGCCATAAATAAAGGAGGTTTAGGAGACTCTAACCAGCGGATTTGTATCTGGAGTTTGAAAAACTGGTGAAGAGCTGGCCCTACTTTAGTGTGTGAGCGCAGTGTTCCATTGACAACAATTGGAAATCGGGCACATGAAACCCAGGAAGACACTCACCTTATGCATCTGTGACCACGAGGAAGTGAAGTTGAGCTACATAGCAGATTTGTGCTCTATTGAACAGATGACCTGGTTTGGGGTAGGTTGTAATAAATATGCGGAAAACATAGATGTTTTCCCACCATCAAAGATATCCCGTATTGCTAGTGCCCCCTCCGATCGAGCTGCTGTCCTCCACTAATGACTTTTAATAAAGGGTTCATCGTGTTACAATGAGCATAACATCGAGATAGAGCATGTTCGGTATGAACAGCTCCGGAAGAAATCGAAAGGCGTCACCAAGTTTATCGCAATCGATCAAGAATGTGCACAACCCATCATGAGGTGAGCGTTCGTCCCAGTGATCACCCGTTAACAATGCACAACAGGTGAACCTAAGTTGACTCACGCTTTGATGGCTTAACATTGCCCGGTGAATTTCCGGCTACTACATTGGTTAACCAGAGACTGCTGTCGTTACGTCAGATAAGCGGGCCAGGAATTGGCTGTATAGACCATATATTTACTCTGCGGCAGGTGACAGAGCAATGCCACCTATACTGCAAATCAACAATAGCTGTGTTCCTTGATTTCAAGAGTGCGTTCGATTCAGTCAATCGATGCATTCTGTTCGAAATGCTTGCGCGGAATGGTGTTCCCGCGAAATATGTGAACATCCAGCGTGCTCTATACTCGAACACTACAGGCCGTGTCAGGGTCTATGGTGGGCTATCGGATAGCTTTCCGACCACAAGTGGCGTTCGTCAGGGTTGTCCGATTTCCCATTTTTGTTCAATTTCGTCGTGGACTCTATCATGGAGTGTTCCCTTGGCAAATCTCATGATATAGGCATCGAGATCCTGCCTGGTGAAAGATTAGTTGATCTTGATTATGTGGACGATATCGTCTTGTTTTGCGACGAAGTTGCGGCGGCACAATCGACCCTGAATAGCCTATCCAGAGTGGTCCCATTATTTGGTATGCGCTACGCATCTTCAAAGTGCAAAGTGTCGCTGCAGGACCAGCAGCCACTTTGTGAACCCTTGACCTTGATGAGGAGAAACTCAAGGTCGTTGATCGATTCATTTATTTTGACAGCTGCAACAATAACAATGGGCGAATAGAAAATGAAGTCAGTTCAGGCATTGAAAAAGCCAGAACTGCCTTTTTGAACATGCAGCATCTTTGGAGACAGAAAGGAGTACTCCTTCATCTGAAAGGCCGTGTTTACCGAGCCACAGTGAGAGCCGTCCTGCTCTACGGGAGTGACACGGCCCCTTTGATCTGAAGATGTGAGGCGCCTTCAAGTCTTTGATCATCGTTGTCTGGGAAGCATTGCTGGTGTCGGATGGCACCAGCGTGTCCGCAACGATGATGTGCGCAGGCGAGTACTAGGCAGTGACAACCAATCTAGTTTCTTGGAACGGATAGCAGTGAATAAGTTGTGTTGGCTTGGTGTTGGCTTGGTCACCGCTAAATGAGGGCCTTGTTTTATTTGCTAGATACAGAGTGGCGCAAGGCTCGAGGTTGATAAAAATAAACTTGGCAACGAGAAAGGACGACATAATTTGGTAACGTCGGTCCGTCTCGCCTTTCACGCTGGAGTCCACGTGACCCACTTTGTGCTTGGCTCGAGACTTTACAGGACATGGCTCGCAACCGACACCAGTGACGCGTCTGCTGCCGTCTCCTAGTCGGACTGCCTGTTTAAAGTGTGTTTGGTGCTGAGTTATTTGCAGGGTAATGGCTGATTATGACGCGGGGCAGTGAAAGTCGCGAAGAAGCTGTCACGCCGATGCCGTCTTATCTTTGCACCATAGCCAGCTGTTCGAGACGGTATGTTGTCTATACAAGGTGTAGGCGCCTTGACCCTGAATGCGTGCTTAGGACATTAAGGTTTTCAGGTAAGTTCCCTTTCTCTCTCCCTTATTATTCTTTATTCCACAAGTCATCATGGTTGTGACAGCGAATCATTAATTCAAGTGGCTGATGTACTGCTGTTGTTAGTTTGATTTTAAGCTGGTCACAAAACGAAAATCCCTGTTGACAAAGCAAGAAAAATAAAAACGCGGAACATTATGCTTCAGAACTCCAAACAGAGGAAAGATTTGTGATAGTTGCCGGCATAACATACCTTTCATAAGTTCTTTCACTGTATCCATCACAAGAGCATCCCCTTCGAGTGGAACAAGATGACATTCATCTGGAAAGTGCAAATTAATATTAAAAGTCGTACCATTCACAAAATACCCAAGGACTGATGAAGGAAGCTTTAACACTTCGGAACGCAGTAAGTAGGAGTCACTGAGTAGTATAATTTACGATGACAAATACTGAACAAACCTTTGATTGGGTTCATGACCGACAGACGGGTTCTTGCCATTCTCCACCTTCATTTCTAGAAGATCCAGAGTGGCTTTCATTCTACATTCCTTGACGTGCTCGTTTTCCATCACTCTATCGTTTGACCGGTTTTTGTACTGCAAAGGTGAGAAACTAGATGACTTACGAAAAGCAATAACAACTGTTTTCGAAGGTCACTTGACAGATAGCAGTCGATCTGAATAGGAATGTTAAAATAATTAATCTGTTACCTCTTTGAGGACACCAGCCATAACTAAAACCCAAGAAGTCTTGTCGATCCCGGTGATAAGAGCAACTACGGTAATCCAGTAGAAGGGTAAAGTAACGCCAGGAATCTAAAGTGGAATCAAAGCCATTATGCACCGCAGTAAGGGCAAAAGAATGAGAGGGAAAAATGAAAAAATAGGCGAGGTGTGAGACGCACAGGAAAAAGCCAAGAGGCCGAGTCTGGTACTATTAGTACATAGACCTGTAACCGGAAAAGGACGAATTCGGTAATCTAAATAAGTAATTACCACCAGAACCAATGAGCGCCATCTACAGTGATCACAAAGGTTGTCGGTATATTCCTTAAAATCAACCTTCGGTTAGGTGTGCGTCCTAGTTTATAGGACTGAGGAAGCGATATTCCAGAGAGCATCGAAACGCAGAATCAAACGTTCATCTTCTGGATTGTCGTTTTCGATCGGGTATAATGTGGGGGTACGGTAACAAGTGAAAGAATAGACCACATAAGCGCTTGTAATGTATAATCCAGGAGCTGCTTGTGATCAAATCCAGGTCAAGGAAAAGCACTGAAGTAAATATGACCAGAGCGGATTAGCTGAAATCGATCATGTAAGCATGTGATTCACGGAACTTGATCCTCGTTGATTCGACATTCTCGAAGATCAGTTACATGCCAAATTTTGATAACTATCGGTAGATTAAAGGCGGTCACGACAACGGCGCATTTGTCGTGATATACAGACAATCTTCACATAATAAAGTAGCCGTGTAGGTTCGTTAGTGTCAAATGTAGTTTATTAGCATTCCGAAAAATAAATAGATTGACCACAAATTGTGATCATCAGTATAGTTCCAATAGATGATTTAAAGTGCTTTCGAGAGGTCCTTAATTAAAGGTTTTTGGAGTTTCGGGCAGGTGCGGATCTTAGAGAGCCACCACTAGGTATGAGTATCGGAGCAGGAAGTTATTTCGCATTCAAGCGCTAGGTTCGGCCTCTTCGGAAATTTGCGACCCAAAAGAAGTTTGAGCAGTAGCTGTTCATGTGAAACTTTATTTGAGGTAAAGCCGAAGCCTATGGAAATAACGCACTTCTCTGATATCTATCGCTTCTACACGTGTTGCTCTAGCAACAAGCAAGCTAAGGATGCAAAGGTGTTGTTTTCGAAGCCCTAACTGAGATGGAGATTATGTGCAAGTGTTCAGTGTAGTTGCAAGCAGTATGAAATTTGGTTTCCGACTAACGCCAGACATCCAGGTCCATAGTTGACAAGGTCTTGACGGTTCTAATATGGTAAGTGGACATCACAATTCTGAGTTTCCAGCTAAGTGGTAAGTGACTGGCTTCAAGAGAATTACGAAGTATTTGAGAGACGGGACTAGCGATGCATGCCGCTACAGCCTTGAGGAGTATGGAATGCAATTCATTGAGAGCCGGATGGAAGAGTGAATCCGGAACCAGAAGTCTCCTGAATATCTGATGATGGCTTTTAATGTATACTACAGGACGGCAGTGGGTAGTTGGTCATTGAAGTGCAGAGGCTCTAGTGAGTAGACCAGGGAGTATTGCAAGGCCAGCAGTGTAGATGACAGACGTGGGCATTCCGTCTTTGACAGTGGCTGTTTGCGGAAGATCCCCCGTGTAAGGTGGCAACAGTGAGAGCGCAATGATGATGTCAGACACCGCGCCATGGGCAAAGAGGAATTTCCACTCCAGGAGCTTATTCTGTCGCACCAAATGAGATAGTTTTCCTATGTTTTCGCAGCCTAACTGACGGTAACCACGTTGCGCCTTATTTGCGCCCGAAGGGTCGCATTGGAAGAGGTCGCGTGGATGGCAGCTGGCCAGTTGGCGGCAACGCATCAAGTCTTCAACATCTTGCTCATACACTATCAGTCCTACAGACTTCCGGAAAGGGGAAACAAAAATGAGGAATGACCGAAGCAAATTCACAAAACCGGTTGCATCGGAAGCAATGTGCGTCCGTTTTCGGGACTTCGATATTTCAAAAAGATGAAGGCGAAAAACGGAAAGAATCGCGGGCGAAAAACTACAAACATTGATGTGTGTTGTCCCTCCTCGTCGGTAAGCTTAGTTCTAAGCACTGTGCCAAACACTTCTTTCTACAAGAGTTTGTATGGTTCAATGCTTATTTTCATGAACTTTTTTCTAAAAATGTGGTTGGCGGCATCTGGTTCCGGATTTACCTGCCAATGCGGCATCCAAGGGAACAGCCACATGACGCCTGTGCCTACAGAGGGACCATGAGTGGCTTGCGACGCATAACCTAAGGTCAATCTACACCCCATATCCAGTGTAACTGCGAAGGAATAAAACCAGGTGGCATGTGGATGGGAGCCACATTTCATCAACGGAGCCGACCCACACTCCTACAAGTAGAGGGGAAGCATACATGCCTTAATGAGAAATCATTCGTACCAGACTTACACAAGGCGGCGGATGGGCAGCAGCCCGTCCCACACTGGATGCATGAAACCATCATTTGAGCCTAGTTCGGCCACGAGGACAGTGCACGCCGTCACCTCCAGCCACGACTACATGTCTCCTGGAGTCAGTATAGACTAGGTGGTGGGTAATTTACAGGTAAACACCTGGTCAACATTTACATCAAGCGCCGCCACACCAGGGATATCAAACAACCAACATAGAATGTAACGGAAAGTAAACACGCAAAATTGACACAGAATATGCACCAGAGTAACAAAATTGAACAAACCAAACAAAGAGGAATGACTTTTATCCAGATTAAGGTGAGGTAGATTAAGTGTAAGTTGGTTTAGCCCATACACATATATTCACTGTATAAAAAATGTATTTTTGTACATTTTTGATCCCACTTTGTTATCTTATGCCTGTAAAAGCATGCTTCGCGTTGTCGAGAAGAAAAAGATTGCACTTATTTATTTACTTGCAATGACGATGCAGCATACGTACCACATCAGCCGCATAATTGGCCTGGATCAGTAAATAGAATAGAATCGGAAGCAGCCAACTTAAAAGTGCTGTACTGATGGTAACTACATAGTTGGCTTACTCGTCCTCTTAGACGTTGGCCCAAAGTGGCGATGATGGTGGCTTGGCTTAGGCACTCGTGATCGCATGTGCTAAAGTACAATGCGCTCGATGTCGACAGGTTATCCACCATAGGCGCCTGTCGCTTCTTCCATCGACGCTCCATTTCCGATGCACTAGTGATTTCTATTGTACCTGGGCAACCGCCCTCTTGATATGTTCTCGTCACGGGCGCCGATTCACTGCCATCATTTCCCATCACTTGTGATCAACAGTACATCGCGATAAAACAAACTTGATCATGTCCTGGTAAGGTAACTTCGGTTTTCCCACCTGCCGCTTCCCTGTATACAGTTGGCCATAAAGCAACTGCTTTGGCATCCGAGTGGAATCCATGCGGCGAACACATCCGAGCCACCTCAGCAGAAGTATGCAGTTCACTGCATACATGCCGCTGCGTCGGAGCACCTCCATATCTGCAACCCGGCCAACAAAGCCGATGCGCATAACACGACACAGATAAGGAACATTCTTCTAACAAAGCGTCCAGGTTTCGCTGTCTAGTAGAACGGACAGCGCCATAGACTTACAAACCATCAGCTTCGTCCGGACAATGAGCTGGTAGTTGTTCCACACATTTTCCAGCTTGCGAAATGCGGCAGCTGCCTTCGATACGCGCATGTGCAGAGCGCTCGTCACCTTCAGGTCGGCAGCCATTACGCTACCTAGACAGCAAAAGCTTGAAGTGGAATCCAAAACGTCGTTGCCAATGTGGATTTGCCACAGGCCAACGCATTCCCCTTCTAGAACAGGCTGGAAAATAATGACAGTCATGCTTGTGTCTACGATGAGATCGAATGTGGCTGCTTTCTAAGTGAGATCCATCGTCATGCGCTGCAGCTCATCCGCAATAAATGAAACAACGCCCGGTCGTCAGCAAACAATAACAGGCAAGTAATTGTCTCAAACACTAAGGATCCAGACCAGAAACGATAGAGGTTCAGTAACCCATGACCAATACTGTGCTCCACACAGTCGCTGTAAGCACAAGCGGCATCAAAAGCACGAGACAATATTGCATGAAGGTAAATATTAAACAGAGCAGGGGCTAAGACATAGCCTTGTTTCACTTCAGAGACAACAGCAAAGTCATCTGAGGTTTGTCCACATAGCCGCACTCTCGCCCGCATACGACGATGCAGACACAGACGATTAAACTTAAAAACTTACTCGAAACACCAAATCAACCTACCACTAGCCACAGTGCCCAGCGGTTCCCGTGTCAAATGCGTTGGCGAAGTCAACAAACAGCGAGTACAATGGCTGGTGTCGCTATCGGCATTTCAACCGCAATTGACGAGCAGCAAATACCATATCCATAGTGCAGCGGCCCGAAGGGAATACATGTTGCTCTTCCACCACGTTCGGATCAACGACCTGAGCGATGAGGAGGTTTAGCAGCATTCGGCGATCACCTTCCCTACACATCTCAGTAAGTTGATGCCACGATAATTTGTGCAACATTGCTTGCTCCCTTTGCCCTTGTACACTGGTAGCACGAGCCCATCCTTCAGCTCGACCGGCGCTCTTACTTCAGTCGAAACGCGTTGCACCAAGTGGCGCAGCGTACTTAGCAACGCGGATCCGCCTTGTTTCAATACTTCAGGCGGGATCCCGCCGGAACCGGGCCATTTGCCATTTCGCAGCTGAACAAGTGCTCTCTGCATCTCATTCAGTGTCGGTGTATCAGCGAGACACGACTTCATTTGTTGCTGTTGCAGCCCGTGCTACATAGCCCAGTCAATATCAGAACGCTTTTTCAAGAGACAAGTGGTTTTGCCAAATCTGCATTATGTCTGTAGTCTACGTAAAGGCAGTGCCTGAAGTTGCATCGAGCAGCGTCCCAAGCTGCTGTAACGTTGATCCAGACACCGTCTTCGAGTCAAATAATTCCTACTGTTGGCGGCGTTAAGCGTAGCATCCCATCTGCACCGCCTTTTCCGTCCACTATGCATTCTTGATGCGACAAAGCTCTCATGTGAGTCACCGTCAAAGTTTGCGAAAGTGACTCCCACTCTCGCGACCGTCAGGGTCATTCAAATGTGCAACGAATGCTGCATTCTTAGCCGACATCATGCGCCCATGATCGCAATGTGATAATCAAACCAATCGAGCCGTTTACAGTTTGCGCGCCCAATCTTGTCGTCGGAAGCAGCAGTCACCTGTTCGCGGATGTGGTGCAACAGGTAGCTCATTGAGGCTATGGATTCGACAGCAGCATAGCAGGCAGCCATCGTCTTCTCCAGTTCCATGCTCTTCTCAGCATTAAATAGGTGAAAACGTTATCTCTCCACCTGTTGACAGCAGAAGCGCAATACAT